TGTGTCACATTCTGGATTACTGTATTCTCTTGTATTATAGTATAGTGAACTTTTAGTATAGTATATAGAGTGTTCTCTTTAACATGCATTAACTTGTAATAGTAGTAATTATAGTGAGTATCATAGTGATAGAGGTAATGAGCAGTAGTCTTAACTATACCTATTATAGTTAAATAGAGTGTGGGATTGCATGCCTTTGATTTACAAAGGTATTGAATAAGGTGAAGACTTTCATATCTAACACAAATATATATGATATATAACTAAGAATTCAATGACAGTTAGACGGATAACAATATACCCTAAGACCACAATCAAACAAGAACAGGAAGTAAGGCGAGCTATCGGTCCTAAGTCCTTCAAGTCTTACTTATATAAATATATTGGTGTAGATATAGTTTAAAAGAAAAGTAGTTTAAAAACAGTTTGAAAATAGTTTAATAACAATTTAACATAGAAAATGCGTTTGATAATTATTTAAAACAGTTTTGTTGACAAGTAGCTAAAAGTATAGAAAATCCTTTTTGATTGCGAGTTATAAATCACATGTGATTTGATACTATAACTTGTTGTATTCAACTTGTATCTCCCCATAAAACATTTAAAAACATTTGAAAGGTTAATTAAGGGGTATGAACTCACCTGTAGCGAGTGGAGCGGTGTAAGTGTCGGATGAGTGCTTGGTGTCAAGTGAAGACTTGAACACACTTTATGACCCTAGTAACATATAAAGACATATGTTTACATACAGTTAGTGATTAAAACACTAATTAAACACGTAATGACATCCTAATACGAAGAAAAACTCTTTGGTCAGGTGCTAGGAGGCTATTGGGTTGCAAGGAAGGAGTGTAAGGCCTCACTATGGAGTTTACTCCTTAAATACTCACCTTAGGTGAGTTTGCGGTTGAGGGACTAAATCCCCCATAAGTTTACGGACGTAAACTCATGGGAGGAGTGTATTTGTGTGCCTTAAGGTCTCTTGTATCACTAGGAAGGGTTCTAAGGTTAATTCCAAGGCTTGAGGCGTGTTTAGGGCTCAAAGGGGGCACTCCCTTGGAGTTTGCGGTCCTTGGACCACTCCTTGGGAGTTTACGGTCATGAACACCATGTTTTATGGCCGTAAACCCTTGGACACCCATTATCCTTCGTTTTTGAGGTCCTTAGCTCACTCCTACAAGTTTCTAAGTGAAGGTCCAAGGTTAAATAGGGGTTTTGGGCTCAATTTGCATCATTTGAGGGAGTTTACGGCCTAAGAGTGTTCCTGGGCCGTAAACCCTCTTTCAAGCCTCCAAACTTAATGTTTAATGTCTAAAACACTTCAAGGGTAAGTTCTAAGTTAGTCTCTAAGCCTAAGGAAGGGATTTGGGGGCATTTTGGCACCCTTTTAGGGGTTTACGGCCTAAGAGGGTTCTTGGGCCGTAAACTCCTTTTTCTTGACCTTCTTGGATGATTTTCATGCTATATAGACATATAATGAGCTTTAGAACAATCTAGGGTAAGAGAACTTACAATTTGGGGGTGAAAACTTGCGGATTTTTGGAAGAATCGGGCCTTGAAGAGAGAGAGAGAGAGAGAGAGAGAGAGAGAGAGAGAGAGAGTGACTAGAGTGGTAAAAAGTTTAAGTTGGTGACCGCTCAACCCTTATATAGGGTTTTAGTTTGTGGCTAGGTGGAAATCTACCCGATACCGACGTTAAATGGGGCTTATGGTTGTACCCGATTAAATGGTCGTAATTTGACTTGATTGTAACTAAAACTTTTTAAGGGAATATTGAGGGTGTTTCACGTGTTTCTAATTTGTTCCGATCCTTATGAAGTCATGATAAAAGTTCTAATTTTAAATTGTTTGATCCCAATGTTAACGGACAAGTTTTAATAAAAACGGGTTTCAGTGACGGAGTAAATTTCAGGTTGTCACAACTTTTAGGGTAAAATGACTATTTTACCCCTAACCAAGTCCAAGTCAAAGTCAACTTCCAGTTGACCCGAGTCGTCGAGTTGGGCCGTCAACTCGTCGAGTCCTTAACCCTTTATCCTTCCTTGTCCACGACTTGACTCGTCGCGTTTAGCAACGACTCGATGAGTTCCTCCTCTATATGAACGTCGAATGAACCTTCATCCGACTCGTCGAGTTGTATAAACAACTCGTTGAGTTCACCTTCATCTGATGAACAAGTTCTGTCCTTGACTTGCCGAGTTGTATGAACAACTCGTTGAGTTCATCTTCAACCATATGGAGATTGCCTTGGACTCGCCGAGTCTGTTCTAGCACTCGTCGAGTTCCATGAACTCCAGGTCTAAGGCTAAGTCCAATACGTTGGGTCACTTCTTTGGACCTTCTACAACCCTTCTAACACCCAACTGAGTTCTTTTGACCCTCAACAGATATGGGACTTTATGCCTTGGACTCGTCGAGTCCCAAGAACGGACTCACCGAGTCGATAACGTCCACACCCTAAATCCTCGATTTCTGATGTACAACCTTTGACCAAATGATAGATCCAAGCCCCTAAGCTCGATCTAGCACGTAAAGTTTCGAACTTTACGTGCATGCATGGGACTTTTGAGCTTGAAAGGCTCTAAAATGGCTCTTATGTTGCATGAGACCTTCCTTGGGTGCAAAAGCAACCCAAATCTGCCTTGTGACTCCTTCCAAGACTTAGATCTGAAGTCTTGACCCCCAACCATGTTTGTAATCATGGTTGGCTACCTCATATGGCTTAAAAAGCCCTAAATCTTCCCTAAAAAGGGATCTAACAAACAAGCAAGCAAGGTATATACTATATACCTTTCAAGGACTACAAATGATGAACCAAACTCGAATCCTTCAGTCTCCTCTTGATCCTTCTATGCTCATCCTTCTTCCTTGAGGTCAAAACCCACAAAAATCACTCAAAAGCCTTAGATCTTGCACCAAAACACTTAGGGTTTGCTATGTAGGGTTTTTGGGAGCAATAGGGATGAGTGGTGGCTGAATGAGATGATTAAATAGGGTGCAAACCCTCGGATTAGGGTTTTTGTCCAGTCAAAGCCTACTCGTCGAGTTCGGGACCCGACTCGACGAGTCCATCACTTAAATCCCACATCCTGTCCCGCTTCTACTCGGCGAGTTAGTCCTTCAACTCGCCGAGTCCAAGGCCAATAATGCAAAATACTTAAATAAATTACATACCAATAACCAGGTGCTACATGTACGCCTAATGTACTAACAGGGCTTCTGGTATCCTCCATCTCACGAGTAAGTTGCGTGTACCCTCATGTATGCCCAATGTACGGGCTAAAACACAAACTTTTACCACAAGGGACCAATTATGCAACTTGATAAAGTTAAGGGATAAAATGGTAATACCTGATAATCAAATGTTACAAAATGCGATCTCACAACCCATTTCCTTCTAAAATCCTTGCTATCTTGTAAAAAACTCTTTAATCTTCAATATGAGCACAAGTCAAAACAAGTTAGGGAATAGAAGTGTCTACTGGGAATACCCGAGGTTGGCTTATTTAGAATAATGATGATGATAATCATCCTACTCGAGATCAACCCCCAAAAATCAATATAAAATAAACATAAATTCCAAAAGATCAACATAATCACATCAAGGGCTCAAAAGTCAACTAACAGTCAAAACCAAATACGATAATCTTGATTAACTAATAAGATTTAATAAGCTTTAGAAGCATCACCATAGCTCAAACCAATTAAATCTTGGGTACAATAGACCAAAATATACCATCAACATAGAGTTCAATAATCAAAATTTATATCCAAGAAATGTAATAATCAATTCCAACATGAATGGCTTACTAGCCATACTCTAACAAAGGAATGAGTATTTCATAATCCAAAGTAAATGGTTCCCTAATAAGTATCTCAACCCAAATCAAATTAGAGTTCTAAGGACCCAAACCAAAATCAAAAGGGTATATATATATATATATATATATATATATATATATATATATATATATATATATATATATATATATATATATATATATATATATATATATATATAACACATAGTAAGAACTAGCTAGCAACGATTGTGTAAAATGAGGTCTACCTAGGAATCTACTCATAGTCAATGTAATTGCAATTCACATGGATATCATGTGCATTATGTGACACCCATGCAATTTGCGATTTCGTTCATCATTTTCCCTATTTTTTTCCTAATTAAAATCATACACAATGCTACTAGATTTCAACGTCAATGCTAAAAAATTAACTTCACGATCACGTACAATATTGTTTAGCAGGGTCTCGTCTTCAACCATTTGCAAGAGATTTTTCAGTTGATCAAAGTGAAAAAATGACCTACAATTTTTTTAGGGTTTAAATATAATAGACAGATGCGCTGCGCTGCAATTCATGGGTGGGCCACGAAACCGCAACCTAGTAGCCAAAATCGTAGTCAAACACACGAGTTAAATGCCTAAACCGCATACGACTTACATAATCGCATGCAAGTTAAATTCAATTGCTGGCTATTTTGAAACAAAATCTAACTTTTAATTAAGAAATTACAAAGTTTTTAAATAACGTAAGGCGTGACTTGGCGGCAATATCAAACATCAAGCTTTTCCGAGCCTTGACGAGTCACGACGTTTGTAAGGCGTGACTTAAGGTGACAATTTTCTATATAATTAATATTTTTATATGTATTTTCAACTATTATTCTTTTGTATACATATATATGAGTTAAGGCGGCGTTTTGGCAAAGCTTGGCGGCATGTGCAAACCTTGGAGTCGAGACGTGCTATGACGGAGCCATAACAAGCTTTTTAGAACCATGGAAATTACACATTGTGCCACAGTTCGACTTAAACTAGGGAAAGAAAAGTAAATAGATAGAAGTGGAAAAAAAATAAAAAAATTGATCTTTATGAGTTTCGTTAAAGAAATAAAAGCAAAACACATATTTCTTCATATTTTATTTCTGTTTTCTTTTTCTCTTTTCTTTACTTTCCTTTATTTTATTTTATTTTATATTTTTCTGTCGTGAATATTTGAAAGTTTCTCTTTTATTTTATCTTATCGTCCCATTCCATTTCCATACCCTCGTCATCGTCCCTGCAAATCTCGTCGTTCTACTCTAGGGCAAACAGGCAAATCTTGATGCACGTAATGAAGTCTATGTTTCAAAGAAAACCTCCAATTTTATCCCTCAGACCCGAGTTTCATTCACAATGCTCCTACAATAATCCCCAGGTTCGAGCGTGTTTATTTCCCTTTTTGATTAATTAAAGACTATGCAACTTTAACAGTTTGTTTCGTAGCGATCTTAATTCCATCAATATCATGTGTAATATGAAATTTCATCGAAATTGGAGATTAATAAGTGAAAAGCAAAACTTATCAGTCATCACTCAAGAGTTGACAAAGAAGCTATGTTGTATTTCTGCACAATTTTTTCTAAATAACGCTGAATTTCCCAAAGTTAAGATGGGTAATTAGTTTTGCATTTGACTCCGACAACTTGAATTAGCTAGGGTTATTTGGTTTTAGTTTTCTAATTTGAACAATCTATAACAAATTATCGGGGTTTACTTGTTTCCAGGTTGTCTGTAATTCCAGTTCGACGAGGGAAGAGTTTATGATGAAAATTTTGGATCGAAGATGGACATTGAAGAATCCAGACACCAAAGTTCACCAAATAAACGTTTCTCGCTTACAAACACAACCCACTTCTAAACTACTTGGGAACGTTTCCTTTTCAAACAACTCACATCCTTCGTTGGGTGAGAATCTAACGGAATGTCACAATGATCAGTCATCATTCTACATTGTTCGTGATGATTTGTTGCATCCATTAGTGAATGGTAACAAGGCCAGGAAACTGGATGCATTGCTTCCACTTATTGAAGATCATTTAGGAACCGATGTGGTAAGAATAAGATAACATCTCCTCTCAAATAATCCAAAAATTTAAACGTTTTCATTTCTCTTTAAACTTCTTTACCAATATATGAAAGATTATAGGCCATCTGGGATTCTGCAAGTGATGTCTTGAAGTTCAATTACACCATTTTTATAGGTCACATGTGGAGGTTGCCAAAGTGCACATACTGCAGCTGTTGGTATGTTACATTTACATTCATGTTCTTCATTCTGTTTTCAGATTACAACTCTTGATTTTGTGTTTGTGTGTTTTTCAGCTGTTTCTTGTGCAGAGAGAGGATTAAAGGCACATTTACTTTTACGTGGAGAACAACCTCAAATTCTTACAGGCTACAATTTGATTTCCATGTTATATGGAAATGTCACATATGTTCCAAGATCTGTATATGCTAAAAGGGAAGAAATGCTGACATCACATGCTGATTCAATACCTGGGACTATCATACGCCTTGATGATTTACTCAAGGCTTCCTTTACAAACCACAAGTCAACAAAGTCAAACCTTGATCAGCCTTCAAATTCAAAGAAGATAGTAGTTATCAATGAAGGTGCTGGAGATGCCATTGCATTACCTGGTAAGCTTGAAGTCAACTCATAAGTCATAACTCTATCTTGAATTTTTATAGGTTTTGACTTTTGACTTTCTATAGGCTTGATTCGCCTTGTGAAATACTTGTCACAAGATCATATACTTGGAAAAAGTCAACCAATAAAAATTGTGGTGGATTCAGGCACTGGAACAACAGCTGTTGGTTTAGGAATTGGAGCCTTGTGTTTAGGGTATGCGGTTTAATTATTTTAAATGAATATATTTAAAACTTCAACCAATAAAAATATTGATTTGTTTCTACTTTTTGCTAGACTTCCATGGGAAATAACTTCAGTGATGCTTGCTGACACCATTGAAGGATACAGAAAACATGAGGAACATTTGATATCTGAGTTGTTTGGATCCTCTGGCTTCCCTATTATTATGCATAATGGACTTGTACATTGGGTTGAACGTGAGCATCCAAGAAAGTATGTTTGGATTCTTTCTATTACATTATTATACTAATTTTTTTTTTTTTTGGAATGATGGATGTTTTGTTGTTTAAAATGCAGATTTGGGAATGTGTTGAAAGGGGAAATAGAAGCATGCCAACAGATTGCTAAGGAAACGGGTGTTTTGGTGGATCCAATATATACATTGGCTGCATGGGAGCTTGCAAGTCAACTTAGTCAACAGGAAAAAAAAGGTGGTGCAAAAGTTGTGATGCTTCACACTGGTGGGACACTTGGCATGTTTGGATTGGCTCAACGCTACAAGTCTTACTTCTAATTTTCAACTACTTACTAATATCGGCAATGTACTTTATTTTTTATCCATACTTATATTTTTGTACCCATAAGTACATTGCTATTACATGTAAAAAGTAAACTATGGTGCTTATGTAGTTTCATATTTTTTGTTAACATGTCTTATTAGTTGAAACATTGTTGGATAATTCGTGCAAGTTGCGTAAATTGGAAAAAAACGAAACATTGGTATATAAATTGGTAAAAAAAATCATTTTTTTTTTTTTTTTTTTTTTTTTTTTTTGCATAAATACACATATAATGAGTAAAACTAAATATGGATGTTTCTTCGTTTTTGTAAATAGCAAAAAGAACAATTAACATTTACGAAATTGTCTTTATTTATCTTTGTCTTTCCATTTTTCCAAGTGTATTGTCATTTTCTTGTATCTTTAAACATCACTTATTGGAACTTTATGTAGACAACATGTAATGAGGAAAAAAAGAAACATATGTCACAGAAATTTATTGTTAGAACATAAGCTCAATGAGTACCACTAATTGAAGAATGCTATTGTATTTATCATATTCAATCTTTTTATTTATCTTTCTCTTTGGTCCTTGATTATGTGTTTATCCATCTCCAGTTAGATGAACGCATTGTGATGTAGTAGCCAATCAATATCGTCAATACAAGCTCTCAGTTACTACTTTGCTGGATGTACCATAATTTAATTGTGTATTATGGTTCCACTAAGATCTCTCATCATGTATATAACAAGGTTTTTATTTTATTTTCTTATTTTTTATTTTATTTTATTTTTTAACGGAGAGCAAATATATTAGCACTAAAAGAAAAAAAAAACTTAAGTGAGGAGCTCAAGTCAAATTACAAGAAAAGTTTGAAAAGAGAGACATACTCCATACATTGCAATCAATCTTTGTAAATTTAGATCTACACTTGATTCAACTAAAAATACTAATGCTAGTATCGTCCGTCAAAGTCAACATTGCTTGCCTTTCATTTCTGAAAACCAACACATTCCTTGCCTTCCAAATCACCCACATCGTGGAGTAAACAAGAATCATGATCGTTTTTTTGCATGTTTTTTCTACATGTCATCGAATTGAGCATCTCTAAAAGATTTGAAAAGGACAAAGCTAGCTCATTAAAAATAGCGGACAATCCGATAAGCCATATCTACTCATCCACAACATAATCGCAAGAAAGTAGATTACAAGTGGCAAATTGGAATTTGTTTAAACTCTATGAATAACCTAAATATATGAATGTAAGCAAATCACATTTATGAAATCATAATTTTTATTTAATAAACAAATAAATTGCATAACAATCATCACACATCACAAGAAAATACAAGGGTAACAAACTTATGAAGGGTTATCGATAATACTAAAATTTGAATTTCTATTAAAACTTTTATAGGTTGTGTTTGACGAAAACTAGTTGGTAGCGGGTAGCGTTTTGTTAAAAGCTACTGAGATAACTTTTAGATTTGGAGCGTTTTTGTTAAAAGCTACTGAGATAACTTTCAGATTTGGAGCGTTTTATTTAAACTAAATACTACAAACTTGTAGTGCTGAACGAGACTTTTTGTTCAAAACAAAGCGTTTTGTCAAACGCTAGAAGCTCTTAAACGCTCCGTGCCACTTCCAAACACGCCCATGATGGTAATAACATTTGTAATTAACAACTTATCCCTGCATCCTCTAATCGAGAAGGATAAGATTAATGGTGTAAACCTTTACCAAATAGTATAACTTGAAAATGGCTCTCAAGAACGAAAAAGAAAATATATGTTATTGATGCCCCAATCCTAGCCGCGCCTATTTTTGATTCGTCTGCTTCTGACCGAATGAATGGTTCAATAAATTCAATGAATAATTTGACGTGGCAACTCACATGATGCCAAGCATGAAAATTGACCTTTGATGTGCACAAAAATACCTATCAACTTTTAAATTTATAAACCTAACTACTTAACAAATTTATACACCTATAGGCAGTGTACCTAGTCGAATTATAAAATAGCTTAAGTCAGGTGTTGAATACATGAATAAAATTTCAATTTAGAAAAATAACTACTATTAGTTAAACTAAGAAACAAACTTTAAAAAGTGTTTTTACTGATTTTGCAAGATTAGAAGAACTTAATTCAATTCAAACAACTATTAAAACTAAGTAAGCAAAGAAAATGATTTTTACTTCAAGATTAAAGAGTACTTATGTACAGTTCCGGTTTCCCCTCTCCTATGGTTGATTGTAGTTGATGAATTATATTAATTACTAATTCGTTAAATAATTAGATATTATGATCAAACACCTAGAAGTACCAACTTATGAATTACCATACAATGCTTAAGCACAAGTTAAACAACAAATTGATATAAGCAAGAATTGGACTATGAATGATAAATCTTATAGTTACTTTCCTATTATCAAGTCAAGCAACCAAACACAAATTATGGACCAATTAAGCTCTCTAACATAGTTTAAGTCACAAGCTTTAATTACCTAATCTAAGATTTGTTTAACCCTAGCTCTAGCAGTTTAATGATCATAAACCAATTTGAAAACAAGTTCATGCAATAACATTATCATCTACTACACTAAAATAATACCAAGTCAATCAAAGACTAGAACTAAGCATGATAGGATTTTGATTATCAAACACAAGTTAAATCAACATAAAACATCCATTAAATCGAAATCAACACATAAGATTCAGGTTCATCTTCACCAAATAGAAGTATACGGTGATTAGCACAAATTGGACTATGAAGGTATTATGGTTTATTTATATATTATAAGAATAATATATTAAAGGAGAAATTATATTATTTGATTAATATTAGTCATAAATTAATTAGGAATTAATTTGGTGACTAAAAGAGATTAATTGAATAAAGGGGCATAAACTGTCAAATGTGTGATAGTTGAGTTTTGGGCTGGGAAACCTAATGGACTAAGGGATAACGGAATTATGATGGGGATCCATCATATTTTTGTCCAAAGGCCCTAATCTAGAAGGTTCCATGGGCTGCTTGGTGACTAAGCTGTCCATTAGGGTTTAGACTAAAACCCTAGCAGCCTACACTATAAATAGAGACCCTTGGATGCAATTTTCAGAACCTTGACTCCATATGAAACCATAGGGCCGATTTTTAGTGTTCGTCCTCCTCTCTCATAATAGCCTTCTTGCTTGTGGTGTTTGTGAACCATTAGAGGAGTTACAATTGTGACTCTAAGCTCAAGATCAAGAAGATTCAAAGGATTTCAAGCCAATTGAAAGATGTAAACACTTAGATATGTTCTTATAGTGTTAATTTCGAATTATACATGCTAGATCTAGGGTTACAAGTCTTAGATTAATTACATGTACAATAGAGAAGCCTAGATCTAAGCTTTAGGGTTTTGCATGAGCACATAGGATGTTCTTTTGCTTTAAAACCATCACAAGTCAAGCAACCAAACAAAAATTATGGACCAATTATGCTCTCTAACACAGTTTAAGTTACATGCTTTAATTACCTAATCTAAGATTTGTTTAACCCTAGCTCTAGCAGTTTAATGATCATAAACCACTATGAAAACAAGTTCATGCAATAACATGATCATTTACTACACTAAAATAATACCAAGTCAATCAAAGACCAGAACTAAGCATGATAGGATTTTGATTATCAAACACAAGTTAGATCAACATAAAACATCCATTAAATCGAAATAAACACATAAGATTCAGCTTCATCTTCACCAAATAGAAGTACAGGGTGATTAGCACAAATTGGACTATGAATAATAAATCTAATAGTTACTTCCCTATGATCAACTTAAGCAATCAAGCACAAATTAAAATTAATTATGCTTTCTAACTGCAACATCCCAAAGTTTTCTATAACATTTCGTTTGAAATTTAAATAAAATAATTAAATAAATAATAAAGCCTAAACCCCGGGATATAAATTTTATTTTATTTAGCCCTAACTCTGTAATAAGGAATCAGTGTTAGCCATGGGAGTTAAAAGTTATATTTATGGATATTGAGGGTTAAACAATATCATATGGAATAGTTATGAATAGATTTTTGGATGCTAGGGGCTGGTTAGTAAATTTTGGACTCGAAATGCAAAGGATTTGTGAGGGGGGGGGGGGGACTAAAAGTGTATAATGCCTTAATTTTTGAAATTGACAGGGTATAAGCCCGTTACCTCCCGAAACCCTTGGTTTTCATTCAAACCCTAAACCTATTCCTCAAGGCAGCCACCATGTGTGACCTTTCAGCTGCCACCATCCATTTCGCTCGTTTTTCCGACCAGCTAAAGGCCACCAAGCGACCACCATTCTCTACCAATACTCTTGCCGACAATTTGAGCCGTCAACCAACACGTCTTTACTCCTATCGCTGGTGAAGGTGAAGACCAAGAGCGGATACCCTTTTTCCGCTGATGCTACTGCTGTCGTTCGCAGGTTTGACCCTTCTTCTCTGTTTCATCGGTGCTACACCCTATCCACGTCCATCGCTGCTGTCGCCCCGAGTGACTACCTTTTTTTGTGCTGCGGTTGTCGTCTGCCATTTGAAAACCGGCTATTTCAGTTCAATAAAAGTCAAACCAGTCAAACTAAAAGTCAAACTAGTCAAACTAAAAGTCAAATAATTAGGATTTAAAGTATGAATTATACCCTACTTTAAGGGTTCTCAGTTTTGGGAATCAAAAACCATGAGATTTCGGTTTTGATGGACTGAAATCTCATGCCTAAACTGAAATCACTTCTAGCCGAAATCAATCAAGACAAAAATCACACCTAGGACCGAAATCACATGTGATTTCAGTGGCCTAAGGGTGTTTTCGGTGGTAATTAGTGTAACAATTGGTAAAAAATAGGAACGATCGTACAATGCTATGTTTTGTGTTGGGATTATGGTGTTGCGTCTTGGGCTAATTTCTTTTGACCCAGTTTTGTAGCCGGTTTGGGTCTGTCTAACCGTGCATTATTTTATTCTAGGGTTTTAGTATTTAAGGTGCATGCATGCATCCTTAGTTTGCAACACTTTTATTATTCTCGTCATTGCATTGTAAAACCCTAGCTTGCCTCTACAATTGAAGTTCTTTATCGAGCTCTGCTGAGGCGTGACTACGTTTGAATCATAAGCTTCATATTGATTCTATATTGTGTTCTTTGTCTTGTATTTAGTGAATAGTTTGTTCTTTATTAATATACCTGTG